AGGGGCTCACCTGGGTACATCCTTGATGGAGGTGCCTCTACTTGGGACAGTTCAGGGTGTGGCCTAGGCATGAGTCACACCCTATCAGTCTTACCCCGACTGCCTTGTCAGAAGCCCCTGGACCAATCTTGTCAGTAGCCCTTCTATCTAACAGCTTGCACGTCCCAATCATGGTCTTATTCCTGCTTCTGTAGACCCACTTGTAACCGTATTGCTCTGCCACCAATCATGCTTTTGTGAGTCTCCTTGGCCCCTCCCATGCCCGGTCTAAAGCTTAGTGCAGGCTCGCTGTCAGTCTGCACGGACTCCAGGGCAGTGAGTTGGGTTGGGTTTATCTGCACAAACCTGCGGTTGCCATTTTGACCTTGTGCTATGGCCTCCCTCATCCGGGTGATTGTCTATGTCTTTGTGTTGTCTCTGTCCCTTTTATGGAGACTTGGTGGCGTAGTGGTTACCAGGTGGGCTGCAATCTGCAAGGTCAGCAGTTTGAAACCATCAGCCACTCTGTAGAAGAAAGGTGGGGCTTTCTACTCCCATGAACAGTTAGTCTTGGACACTCCCAGGGGAAGTTCTGCCCTGTCCCAAGGGGTCACTATGGATGGGCATCAACTCAATGGCAGTGAGTTTGAGTTTGGTTTTGCCCCTTTTAAGACTGAATAAATGTTCTTCTAAAATTATATTTGAGATTGGGATCTCTTATGTGCCCTAACACAGCGTTTGAAAACAATTCAAATCCTTCCATAAAGGTAGATATGAAAGAAAACAGTTAGTGAGCGTGGACATGGAACGGATCGGAGCTGGACACCCAGGGAATCCAGGACAGATGAACCCCTCGGGACCAGTAATGAGAGTAGAGATACCAGGAGGGGAAGGGGAGAAAGGGGGAACCGATCACAAGGGGACGGGCAACAGAAGAGTGGGTGAAGGGAGACATCAGTCAGTGTAAGACATGACAAAATAATAATAATTTATAAATGATCATGGGTGAGGGAGTGAGGGGGGTAAACGAGCTGATACCAAGGGCTCAAGTAGAAAGCAAATGTTTTGAAAACCATGATGGCAACAAATGTACAAATGTGCTTGACACAATGGATGGATTGTGATAGCTGTATGAGCCCCTATTAAAATTATTTTTTAAAAAAAGAAAAAGAAAACAATTAGTGAATAAACATAGCGCAAGATTCTCTTAAAGAAATTGCAAGGACAAGAAACTAGCTCGACACACTCTCACACTCACTCTCACTCACTACTCACACTCGCTCGCTCATTCACTAAACAAAAAGAAAATTCAAAAAGGAAAGAAACTAGCTCTTCCTTTAGCTAAGTGGGTGCGGCTGTGCATTGTCTTTTGAAGGTGAAATGGCTGGTCTCTGGTGTGGCATCCTAGTGGCGTTGTAGGTTAAACACAGGACTGCAAAGCGGCAAAGCCAGCAGTTCGAAACCACCATCCATTGCTCTGGAGAAAGATGAGACTTTCTATTCCTGTAAAGACTGGGAGTCCCAGAACCCATGGGAGTAGCTCTCCCTCATCCTGCAGGGTCTCTGAGAGTCAGCTTCCACTCGATGGCGTGAGCTGGGCATTTCCTCAGTATCTTTATGACCAGAGGTAGGGTTGCCGTTTGGGCCCGGCCTCACCTGAAACCTTGCTCATCCGCCCCCAGGAAGCTGGGAGATGGGAGCGTGAGCCTCCCTGAGGGTCCCATTTTCCAGAGAGGCAGATGGCTTCCAGGCCCTTAAGGAAACATACTACATTCTCATACTATCCAAAGGGAATGCTGAAATAAAAGGGAGGGGAGGAAGTCTCTTCCTTCTTTTGAATTTTATATTCTCCTTTCAAAGAACCCAGCCCACCCATCCCAAACCCTGTGATTTGAGCTGATCCCACCCCACCCCCCACCCCCAATAACCAGGGCCCTGCCAGGAGCTGGCGTCAGCTCCACAAGCCCCTGGTTGGCTTTTATTTGCCCTGAAAGAGCCTGTGCTTGTGTGATCTTAGAACTCCTCCATGTTCGCTCTGGAAATACAGGAAAACAAACACTCAGAATAAAGGGCCGGGGACGTAGTGGGGATGCCCTGGGCTGCTAGCCATCAGGTCAGCAGTTTGAAACCACCAGCCGCTCCTTGGGAGGACAAAGAAGCTTTCTACTTTCGTGGGAAACCCGCAGGGGCAGGTCTGCCCTGCCCTCCAGGGTCGCTGTGAGCCAGAATGGACCCCATGGCAGCAGTGAGTTTGGGGTTACTTATTTGGGGGTGGTGGCTGGGAGGGTATCTTTTCAGTGTGGCTACTTACAGCAACTCGGGGGTGGGGGTGGGGTGGCCAGTAACAGTCATGAGGGGAATTCCAGAGCTGTGGCCCCTACCTAGTCCTGGAGGCATAGGAAGTGCTGTGTGGAGCCTCTGTACGGAGTGTACTGGGGTGTCTGCGAGAGCATGCATGTCCCCAGGGAGAACGACCTGGGGGTGGCAGGGGTGGCGGAGGCGGTGCAGGTGCCCTGTCTCGGATGCAGTAGATGAGCATGCAGCGGGTGTCTGCGCAGGGCCCACATCTAGACCCCTAAGCCGTTACTCTCTCCTTGACCTCCCTACTGGAGGACAGAATGCCTTCTGCAGGGAGCAGAGAGGGGTGGTGAGCTCTGCCCCCACCTCTGTGGCCCAGCTCCGGCCTGGAGCAGCGTCGGTACGTGCTTGGCATCTTTATTTTGGAAGCTGCCCTACCGCCTCTCTGTAACCAAGAATGAGGTCACGCTGTGCTTACCGGTATTCCTGGCAAATCACCTTAATGCTCACGGGGCTCAGGTTGGCCTTGTATTCACCACGTCGATATAGACTTTGGGCCACACTAAAGCCACTCAGTGAGAAAAAGGCACGCGTACAGGTTAAAGGATCTTTGCTCCATTCTCCCTGACTGGACAGACTCTTGCTCAATGGGGGAAAAAGAACACAATTAGGTTGCTAAATGCAAAGTAAGGACAAAGCAAGGAAGACTTCGGGCCCCTGTCCACCCTGCATTTTATGACTGCCTGACCTTGGTTCAGTTGGGCTCACAGTGTGACACTGCTGTCCTTATTTATGATCTGGCCATGTCACAGCGTTGACCCACACAGGGGCTCGTTCCTCCACCGTCTCGAACAGCCGAGGCTGAGCACTGACAGCAGGCTGTGGCTATTGGTACCAAAGTAAATAACTAATTAAAGCCCGAGCTCACTGCTGTCGAGCGCCTTCCGATTCACGGGGACCTGACAGGATGGGTAGAACTGCCCCTGTGGGTGTTGGAGACTGACTCTCCAGAAGCAGAAAGCCTGGCCGGCTTCTCTCACGGAATGGCTGGTGGCTTCCAATGGCCTTGCTTGTAAAGACCAGCCCGCCGCGTAACCTCTGCTCTGCCGAGCTCCTCCCTGAAGGCTCCTAGTTGGCCATCTAAGGGAAGGAGCCATCTTATGGGATAGAATGCTCAGGAGATGGGAAGGCTGGGTGACTGCTATTTCCTGGGCATCCTGTGCTGGGTGCCGTGGGGGCGGGGGTGGGGGGGGTGGGGTCCGAGCAGTGAGAAGGATCAGATGAGATGAGCTCAAGAAGCTCCGGAGGAGGGCCCAGCTCACCGCTGGTGCAGTCTTCCCAGCTGTTGGGGAGGTGCTGTGACACACCGCAGAAGCCTCTTGCCAGCCACAGGACTCGGCACAGCCAAGCTTTCAAGCTGGACGGACACATTCTTTAACATCTGGGTGGTTCTCTGTTTTATGTTGTTGTTGTGGGGTTTGTTGGAGGGTTTGGGGGGCGTGGGTTCTGTAGGTTTTGCTGTATTTGACATCCAGCATAGGCAGTAACTGGATCACTGCCTTCCTAGGGTCATGACAGGGGAGGTCAGGAAGAAACTGGGAACCAGGGAGTCCAGAAAAGCAGAAGCTGTTTTAAATAGGTGTGGTCTATCGCTTCCCGGCCTTTTGGCTAAGATCAAGTGTAATAAAATGGGTGTGGTGATAATTGCACGACTCCTTTTAAGGTGATTGCGCCATTGAACGGTAGGTGAATTATATGTCAATAAAACTGTTAAGCAACAACACAACATCAGCTGACACAGTGGCTTCCACAATGGGCTCAAACGTAATAAAAACTGGAAATGGTGGAAGCCCAGCGGTGTTTTGGTCTGTTGGCAGAGCCAGCTAAATGGCACCAACCAGCCAAGACTGAAGGGATCTCTACCATGTGCCTACCACGGGGTCTCCCTGGTTTGCCTCTTGGCTTGTGCTGTTTGCTCTGTGGGAGGTCCAAGAGAGATGGGGGTGAAGTCCGAGCCCCGCTGTACCTCTTCCTGGCAAGTCTCCTCATCTTTCTGAGTTAGAGCCTCGTGATGCAAAATGTGGAGCTAACACCACCCCCACTTGGAAAGGTTCAATCCAGTGTCAGGTGGGCCCCAAGGTCCCTTTGACCCTGGCCACCCACATTCTCTGAAAGCCTGAGGCTCACGGGTCGCCATGACCCCCTGGTAGTTTCTCCCCATGGAAACCCAGCCTGCCTTTCTAGCCAAGTGAGCCCTGCTGCAGATGGGCAGATAGAGCTATTCCTGCAGGTCATTGTGCCCGGGCCCACTCTGTTCAGCCCCGAGGACGCTGCCCTGTGCCGCCCCCTCCCTGCAGCTCGCCCTGTAGCCCATATTACCGCATGTTGCTTCAGGATGGCCCGTGTTACAGCTGCTAAAGCAAGCAACTGAGATTAGTATGGGTTTACTCAGTGGTGACACGGGACTAGCCCCACCGTTTGACACGTAAAAGCAGCTGCTACCTGCAGCTTGTAGCTGGGGCCCAGGCATCCAGACGCAAAGCACCAGCGCTCCCCCTGGTGGATGTCTCGGGAGGCCCGGCTGTGCTGCTGGTGTTACCACTGTGTTTGGGACAGAGGAGAGTCCATTCAAAAAGGAGTGTTCAACAGGCGCATTCTTCTTCCTCTCCTTTGGGTGTATGCTTCACATTCTTGCCTTTTCTTTCTCCCCTGCTCTACAAAAGACTACTACAGCCCAGCAATGCTGGGCCTGAAGACGGACCAGGAGGTGTTGGGTGAACTCGTGAGGATGAAGATGCCTGCGGTGGCCGACCTGCTGGAGGGGCACGGGGTGCTGTGGACCTTGGTGGTGTCCCGCTGGTTCATTTGCTTGTTCATCGACATCCTGCCTGTGGAGGTGAGGGGCGTGTACATCTTGGGACTGACAGGGCAGGTCCGAATTCTGAGGGGCTGAG